CCCCCCCCCGACACACACACCAAGAAAATTGAATGTGACCACAAGGCGACGCCACCACCATCCCTTTTTTTGCCTTGTCCCTCACCTCCTCCATTCCCGGCCCTCCCTCGGGCCCCAAGATGCAGCAGGCCTGCCCTGACCCTCCCTTCAGTCTCACATTTGGTTTCTCGTTGTTCCTCTTTTTTTTCCCCCTTCCCATCCCTCTCCCCTCCCTTGCCCCCAATTCCTTTCCCAGGTTGGATGTTCCAGGGAGAAGGGAGGGCTCTGGGCCTCGGCTTACTTCATCTCTCTCTCTCTCTCTCTTTCTTTCTTTCTTTTTTATTTATTTTTTTCTTTTAAACCAATGACACATTTGGACTAAGGGAAGAGGAGAAAACTCTTGAGTCGAGATGCCCCAGATAGACCCGGCGTGAAGGACAGGAGAGGCTAAGGGTGGGGCAGGGGCGTCGGGGGCGCGCTGTCTGGGGGCGTTGTCTGGGGGCTCAGCGGAGGCGGGCGGGGCGCGGCCCCCCTCACCGCTGCTCTCCGTCTCCCGTCCTTTCTCATGGTTTGCGTCCTTCCCCGCCCCACCCTCTCCATGCCATCCTCCCATCTGCATCCGCCATGAGACACGAAGTCACGGTCATTGGAGTGGGGAGCTGCCAGGGAGGGGCGCTTCCGGAGGGCAGTGCTGGGTACCGGGCGGGGGGCGGGCCTCCCAGGCAACCTGTGACACGTCTGGAACCTTCCAGGGCATCTTCCCTCCTGGGGGTGCAGGGCCTGTCCCCTCCTGTGGGCTCCAGCTGGACAGCCCAAGGGCAGCTCACGGGTGTTTGGTCCAAGTGTCCCCTCGGGCCCCAGGATGACCGCCCCCAGGCGTCCAAGCCCTGGGCCTCTGCCGGGCCCTCCGGCCTCCTTCTCCTCCCCTGCGGGCCCACTGGCCCTGGCACATCTGTGAGAGGAGGAGGATGCCCGGGCCTGAGCCTCGCCGCCCCTGGGCCCATGGAGCAGCCGGCTCCTCAGTCCCTCTCTGGCCCTGCCCTGCTCTGCCTGGCCAGCCCTCCAGTGGCCCCAGTGAGTGCCCCTGGCTACCTGCCCGGTCCTCAGGACTGCCCAGGGAGGTTGGTGGGGCACCCCCAGCTGGGCTGCCGAGGTCGGAGTGGAGGCCTGGCCCATCAGGGTGGGGCCCGGCTGCCCAGGCTCCCACCCACCCGAGTCCCGACGGGGCAGTGGGAGCGCGAGGGTGCCCGCCGAGGGCGCACGGGGACCAGGCTGTCCCCAGCCCTGCCCGGTGCCTCATTAGGGCCAGACTGGGTCCGAGGGAACCTGAGGCGCAGCCTGCAGGCCCCACCCACACCCGGGCCGTGGTGGAGCAGGCCTGGCGGAGGCTCAGGCTGCGGGGTGTGCAGTGCACGCTGCTGGTCGGCACGAGGACGAGGGGCCCCTCGGACGTGGGGCAGGCTTGGAGCTCAGCTCCGGCACAGCCACTCCTCCGGCCCGTCTTCCAGCGCCAGCCTGCACCCGGGCAGCCCCAGCTACCCGGGTCTCTCCCTCTCCCAGCAGCCCCGAAGGGCGGCACCCGGGTGGGCCCCGCGGCCTGACCGGCGTCTCCATCTCTCCTGCTCCCCACAGCATTCGCAACGACAGGCGCCTCCTCTGCCAACCGGTTTGTCAGCATCGGACCCCGGGACGGCAACTTTCTGAACATCCCACAGCAGTCTCAGGTAGGAGAGCCGCCCGGCCTGGTGCCCGGCCTGGTGCCCGGCTGGTGTGCGGGAGAGCCCGGCTTTGCACGCCCAGCTGAGCCTGCTGCCCCAGGCAGCCCCCAGGCTCCCTGGCTAATCAGCTAATTGGATAATTAGCTCCGTCGGCCCCCCCCAGGGAAGCTAGCCAAGGACCCAAGGCCGGAGGCGGAGGTGCTCTGGGCCAGGCCTGGTGGAGGCAAAGAAGGAAGCCTGAGGCCCGTTAGGAGGAGGGCGTCCACCTCAGTGGCTCCTCCTGCTCCTCTGGCTGCACGTCCTTGCCCCCAGCCCGCCCCTCTCCTTGGCTTTGGGTGGGCTGGGCCAGGCCTGAGGAGGCCAGGACGGGCCTACTGGGCTGTGTGCCCGAGACTCTGGCACCGAGAGCAGGGCAGCGCCCGCTGCCACCCTGGAGCCACCCCAGTCCCCAGCGAGTCCTGGTAGAGGGATGGCCAAGCTGCCGGAGCCTCCCAGTCCTGTTCCCGTGCCTACGGACTGCTCCCTCCCAGGTCTCACGGGACAGCCCCTGTCACAGCAGGAGGCCCCTGGACCGGCCTCACACGTGCATGTATGTGTGCATACATGCACACACGGAGCCCCCGCTTTCCTGTCCCCAGAGAGGCCGAGAATAGCCGGCACAGCCCAGAGCCCACAGGGGCCCCAGGAGGACCCTCCCCAGGAGCGGAGCAGAGGCAGCTTTTACAGCACGGCGTTTCCGAACAGAACACGCAGCTACCTCACTCCTGCACGTCCTACCAAAACCCCTCCGCGGAGGCTTCCTCAGCCCCGGGAAGGCCACCTCTGCCCAGAGCCGCCAGGGCCACCTCTCAGCGCCTGCTCCGCCGCAGCTCTGAGGCCCAGAGCCAGGGAAAGTTCCTGGATGGAAGTTTTGTGTGTGTGGTTTGAGGTTGTGTGTGTGTGTGTGTTTCCCTTTTCCTTTCCTTCCCTAAAAAAAAAAAAAAAAAAAAAAAACTTATTTGAAAATATTTAAGGAATATAACCTGATACCAGAGGAGTTAATGTACCTACTTAAACTTCAACCCCCTCCAGCTTCCCACCCCCTTCCCCCAGAGTCACGTCTGACCCGTCTGGTTTCCAGGAGCAACCAGACATGATGTAACACCCAGATGAACTTGAACTTGGGGGTGTTGAGAAGAGAAACAATGGCTGGGGGCAGGGGCTGGAGCCAGCCCCCTCCGCTCCGCTCCGTGCCAGGGAGGCTGAGAGGGCCCTGCTGGCAGAGGGCGGGAGGGGGTGCCAGAGGAAGGGCCAGCAGGCGGCCGCCCCTCCCGGCTCAGGCTCAGGGCTGGCACCAGGCTGCAGGGCTGCAGGGCTGCAGGGCTCCATGGCTTCCTCCCTCCCTCCCTCCCTCCCCACGGCGGTCCTGGCCTGGCCGGCTGGAGGCCCGTGGCTCCATGGCATGCTGGCCTGGCCGGCGCGGCGCAGGCTGGCGCGGGGACCACTACCCTCCCCTGTTCCTCCTGCTCCTCCACGTTCTCTGCTCACTTTCGCTTGGACGTTTTGGGGGGCCAAGTCAGAGCGGAGGCAAGTTTGGAAAAGAGTTTCTTTCCTCCGTTTTCCCGGCTCGGGCCCCAGGTGGAGGGGGAAGAAACCCAGGCCTGGTCCAAGGCCCCCAGGCAGGTGTGTCTGGGGGTGTGTGTGGGGGGAGCGGGGGATGGGCAGTGCTGGACATGGCGACCTCGGGCCCGGCAGGCAGGCGGGC